TTCCATCACTTGACATTTAAAAGAAATGTTTATCTGATTAGTTTTATAAAATAGTAGGCCGTTCTCAACTCTATATTTTTTTCAGTGTTTTTTAAGAGTTGCAAATTAGATGTCGATACAACTTGTCTATGTCTATAGATGTAATTTCACAAACTTTTGAGATTGGGGGTTTTTTTTAGAAAAAGTTATATTTATATTCTATTAAAAATGCATTTTCACATGCAATAATATAGTCCGCAATTGCCGTATTTGTAATTTTTTGTCGCTTGACTTACGATCTTACTTCGCTTTTAAAAGCGTACATCTTCCACTAACGCGTGTCGTCAATTGTTCTCCTCAAATCGACCAATTTAGCTTGAGCTTGCTTTTAAACAACCATTGCAATATACATATTAAATTGCAGATGAAATATAATTCCGTTTGTTTTGTAACTAGATGTTCTGCTGTTTTTCACACCATCGAATGGAACAGCCTCCCATTGTTAGAAATATTATTTTTGTTACAATAAGTACAGAATATTTTTGAAATATACGGAGACGTACACACAGGTCGCCTGGCGCTGTACTATTTCAGCTTTCTAATTTGAGATTTCAGCGCAAACGAGAGTTGATATTTAAAAGTGATATAAAGCCCATTTGCCTGATAAGTTGCCAGGGATGAATGGCCCTTATTTCGTCTCCATTTCTGGTCATATACTCGATGGTTGTTGCACTCGTTGACAATTATTACAAGTATGACTACATCGTGTAAGGGAAGTTGTTAAAAAATACTTAGTCCTCATTATTTATATAACGTAACTGCAAACATTACGGTGCAATAAAATTTGTAAATTATTAACGCAGACCGAAAGAACTTTACAACAGCGAGATAAACACCCGCGTTAATGCCCGATATTGTCGATTTATATGCACACGATTAAAGATCTTATCCGTATGTAGACCAACGCAAAAAGTCGCATTTTGATTAAACTCCACTATCACGGACATAAAATTATATAAACCAACTTACGCTTTCACCGCAACAAACTCTTTACACGCATAAATTATAATTGTGATTTTATTTTGCATACGTAAAAATAAGATGGTAAAATAACAATTCGTATATTTGCCAGTTGAAAAACGTCTTGTGTTATTAATTTTAAATGTGAATTGTTTTTGTTGAAATGCAAATGTAAGTTTGCGAAATTCTTGAATAATTGCTCCATATTCAATTGAAAACTAGTAGGCCCTTTCAAGGCAAGACTGCTAAGAGCACGACAATTGAAGAAATCAGTCTAGTGCGCATCTGTTACTTAACGTTGGGTTCCGTTTCAATTATAGTAATTGAATTTCGTCTTTAAGGCGAGGTATTCCAATGCGAGCTTTGCTGCATTATAGGTGTAGGGGACATTACCTATTTTTAATTATTTGGTGTACGGATTCCTGTCGTTCATGTTGGATTTAAAAAATAATAAATATTTCTAATCTTATTAAACTCTTATAATAATAAAATAATAACCTCATATTTGACCGCAGAATCCTACAAGTGACAATGCGGGTTTTAAAGGTAACATACCCGATTGGATACCTTGGAATAACACTAGCCTTTACCTGCACCTTTCTTTCATTACCATTATGCCCCTCCCTTTTAACATCTTAACATTCCGAGCTCATCTATGGACAGTACTGACACCGTATCTATTTCTTATTTCGTTTTTCCTATCCATGATAGTCGCAACGTCATTCAAAGTCTTAAATCGCAAAGATCCGATGGGCACTGTTACGGTCCCTGTCACCCTGCGACAAAAGTTGACAACTTGACAAGTCGTTATCCTTCAAAACCGGAAAGCTGAATAGGTAACGTGGCAGTGCTTTCCTGGTCGAACTCTTTCATAAGGAACTCTACTGCTACTATATATAGGATTACTTGTAAAATACTGACAACCTCCCAGGATACTAATATAGTTTATTATTAATAGGTATACTATATAACAACTTTTGTTTCCTGACTTTTCATAAAACGTAAAAAAAAATACCAAAAAATAAACTTTGTATGAAATTTTGTACTGTCGGACAGTTTTTAGATCTAGATTTGGTAGTAAAGTAAGAAGTTCAATCGTGCAAGAGCGTGCTCCTCGACGATCCCCACTCACTCCTATTGTTACCGCACAGTGTTATCACCATTTAGTGCGATCTATTTATTTATTCTTATTTTTGTATGAAAGTAAAACTAGATATATTTTTTAAAGTCATGGAGCAAATTTGGTGTTTGTAATATTAGTAATATAGTCCTGCGAGGTTATTAATATTTTAAAAATAGCCCCGTACATATTCCTTCTCTTTATTCTACCAGGAATGAAACTCGGGACCTCATGAAAGGTGTCAAATTGCCAAACCGCTGAGTTACTGAAGGTTGTTATAATAAAACTTTCCACAATCACTTCTTTGGTCATCCAATGCTCTGATTTCACAAATTCCAACGTGTTCTCGATAAAGTTTGAGGTAATCATGTCAGAACCCCTGCATTACGGCAAGTACAGTCGACAAAAAGAAAATTGGATATCCATTTTGACAGAAGGCCCAAAATGTCGAGCACATTTGATCGAGTCACAAGTCACTGACTTTAGCGAGTTGAAAAACTTTATAGTCTGTCTTTTTTGAAGACGGAGTAAAGTTACATTTGCAGGGTTACCAATTGTCATAAAATTTTAAATAGTCATATACAGCAACTGTCGACAGTTTTATCGATAGATTGTGAAAGAAGGTAACATTTTGGGAAAAATTGTGAATGTTACCACGTTCTAATGGTTACTAATTACGTCTACTAGTTTCGAAATAAATTTTAATTCATATACATTTTACGACAGCTGAACTTTTATATATTTGAATAAAAATGAAAAACTTTGAAATCTCCTCTTTGTATTTCTTAATAATATATATGTAGTGTATGTGTGTATAAACTTACAAAAATAAATAATCCAAATCAACTGTAGTTACACGAGTAATGGGTGAAAGATGATTCAAATATATATCCATTTATTGCATAAGCGTGACCAATATTCAGTCGATAGTCGATAGAGTATTTATCGACTGCAATCACTAGCTGCTTGCAAGCAGACAACACTTTTGCGCCAACTGTCATTTTACTCCATTTTCAAAAAGACAGACTATAGTTTGAGGATATAATTAAAATTTTGTCGTTATTATTATTATTCATCATCACATAATCATTCTTCTTTTCGCAAATGTAATACTTTTGTGATAACGAGTGGGACATTTTTCTCAGCTGTGAAAATCGAACAGTCGTGACGACACAAACCAATCGTCGTATGTCTACCTTCTTTTTTATTTAAATATAACTCTTTGGTAAATCCAGATTGACTCGAGGTACGCTCGATGTGAATACCAAAACTGTAAATACGTTACCCTGAAAAATTGGCCTAGTTATGCCAATAGAAGAAGACGGTCAAGGTCCAGGATTTCTTTGGTAGACCATTCTAGCCATATACAAGCAATTCTCAAATAAAAATCTATTATAAATTTTGAGGCGTTTACATAGGACCCAAATGTATCGAAGCCATTAATTCTTAATCGTCCTGAATCTACAAAAAAGTGACACACGGATGAATAAGATTTTCGAATAATGATTACTTTCTTATGACTGTCCAATCCTCTTGTGTCCAAGAATTCAGTTCACTCTGATATATCTCAGAGGATGAAGATATCTCAATGGATGTAAATCCTCCGATATATCCGTCATGCCAGATCAAAGCTCACGCTTTTGGTAGCAAGACTCAAGACTAACGTAATAAGAATAAAGTGCCAGACAATTACTAGTTTTCTGATCTCAAATTAGGCAATTCCCTGTGCTGTAAACACCAGAAGTACAAAAGTAATGAAATTTACTTCAGGGCAAAAATAATTTAGAAAATCTAATTTCCCAAATTGTCCCTAACAAGGTTGTTGCGAATGTCAACATCAGCATAAATTAAAGTATCCGCATCTGCATCAGCCTCAGCAATGATTGATGCTGATATTCATTTCGGCTATTCGCGTCGTGACATTAATTTACTAACCATCCAGAAACAGATTGCAAGCCCAAAGAGAAGCTCAGCAGTCGTTCTTATCTTTGAAATGTCAGTATGATTAACCTTGGCAGACTGATTGATAAAGATCTATATATTTTTCACGACTTTTTAATAGATAAAATCAGCATCTGCATCTACTGATGTGTAAAAAACCAGCATCAGCAACCCTGGTCCCAATACCGAGAATCATAACCAAGATTTCTTCATTTACTTCATCTAGTGTTCACAGTGTTTGTGTAGATACTGAGGCTGAGGAGAGATTTGGAATCGTTTCTCTTTTCACTCAAAGCACTGGTTTAATTGTCCATCTCGTGTTACGTTTACTGTTACTAACTGTACCGCTGCTACAGTTTTGGACGGCCAGTTTTTTATAATTACCTGCAGTGGAGCACGCTCCTCGCTATTGCGGTACAATTTTATTTATTTAATTTTTAACACCTTTTTAAATATTTTTAAAACCGAGAAATTATTTACAATTCATGTTTAAAGTGCCTTCTGGTGTTGCAAAGTGAAGCGTGTGTTTTTTGTTAATTTTTATTATCGCCCGATGGCAGTTGTTCGTCAGTGCTTTAACAAGGACGTTAACTTGGACTTTCGTTTTTTTGTGGTCTATTTGTGTGGCCGACTCTACTTCTTTCGTTCTTATTTGTAATGTACGTTTGACAACACAAAGTAGTATAATTTACCCATTTTTAAACAACCTCATAGGGCAAAGGTTTCCTGTGGTAATAGTGGATTTTTTTTAGACGACCTGTTGATGCAAGAGTAATTTTTTTTTAAAATGCGTTTATTTCTCAAACCATTCAAAATTCCTAATCCCAAAAAAATTGTGGTCCTGTTTTCATCGTGTAATAAAAAGTTTCCTAATGTATTACAAATTTTAAAATTTGTCTCTGACATCATTCACCCAAAACTGCTTTTCCAAAATTTTCAGAATCACAAAATGTCTCAAAATTGCAAGACGACATACACAGCAGCAACGACGAGGGATGCAAACAACAACACCTTATACCATGGTGCGGTGGCCCAGGGATACGGAGGTAGGGGGTACTCGCCCCCCACAGTTACCACCAATGGAAATTACCATCAGGTATGTCACTTTTTACCTTTTAAAAAAAAAAGTCATTAGAGATACACGAAACAAAAAATGATATAGCAAAGGAGATACATAACTAAAAACAAATAAAATCAGATTAGTAAAAACCTTAAAACAAGGCATAAATGCAAAAAATAATATACATGTACAATAAACTGCCAATTAGTGTATCTGACTTAGAAATGGCTGCATTCAAGCAAAAAGAAAACTTCAAATATCGCGGTTTTTTACAGAATGAACGAATTTATGGATTCAAATATTCATTTTCTTAAAAAGTCATGATGACTTGTACTTTGTATTTTTATTTATAATTTAAGTTTGTATTTCTTGTAAATTAGAATAACCTAAGGCAATGTACTGTGTTGTCTAGGTGAATAGATATTTTGAATATGACTGTCAACATTTTTGAATTTGAATAATTTACATCTGCATATTGCCAACATCTTCTTAAAGGACAGGAAATAGACAAAGTCAAAGATTATTTATTCCATAGGTAAAATAAATTTACACTTGAAAACGTCACATTTGTCTGCTCGTTCACTACGCTGACCTCCCTGAGAAGAACGAGCTAGAAACTCTAGGGATTGCTCTTTTCAAATAAACTTAAATGCTATGGAATACACTTTGAATCAAATTTGTGTGGAATCTGGAGCCATGTCGTCTTTCCATACATCTTTATCTAACACGTTGTCTTCAATTTTGTAATATGATTTTTCGATCAAAATATTTTTAATGTACTTTTTAAACTTAGGAAATGATAAACTTAATATATGCTCCGGAATCTTATTGTAAAAACGTATACAGTTCCCCATAAAAGAGTTGTTTGCCTTGGTTAAACGAAATCGTGGTACCATGAGTTTGGAATGAGCTCTAAGGTTAATATTATGGATATCTTCTTTCTTATTGAAATTATGTATATTTTTACGGGCATATAAAATATTTGAGTAAATGTACTGTGATGCCACAGTCATGATACCAGTCTCCTTAAACTTTTCTCTGAGAGAAACCCGAGAGCCTAGACGGTACACAGAACGAATCGCTCGTTTTTGTAATACAAATATGGTTTGAATATCTGCCGCTTTACCCCACATGAGAATCCCGTAGGACATTATACTATGGAAGTAACTAAAGTAAACTAGTCTAGCAGAGCTAACATCGGTAAGCTCACGCATTCTGCGGACTGCGTATGCAGCGGAGCTTAATCTACTGGCCAGGGAAGATATATGTGGAAACCATTGAAGTTTACTATCTAAGGTCACTCCCAAGAAGACTGCCTTATTAACAAAGTCTAACTTATCTCCGTTTATTTCTATACTTGGACTAGTCGATTTTACGTTAGGTAATTCAAATTTAACACATTTTGTCTTCTTGGCAGACTGTTGTCAAACCCGCTGGCCCAATTCTTTTACCTTCCTTTTTCAACCCAACTACACCTAATGCATTCATTAGGTTTGTCTTGTTTAATTGAACTTTTGCAATACATTCCACCTCCTACGTTAACAAAGTATCGTTTATCTTTTAGCAGTAGAGCTCCTTGTGAAAGGGTTCATCCAGGGAAGTATTGCCACCCATTCTATTTCTACCCCCAAGCAGTTATGTGGGAATTACTGAGTTTCGGTTTTGAAGGATAAGGGTGCTGGTGAAATTACAGGCACATGAGACTTTTCAACTTATGTCGTAGGATGACGGGCGCAGTGGTTGTGTCCCTCAGCTCTTTGTGTTCGTCCACCACTTTGCAACATAAAATAAATCTGTTGCTCTTACATAGTGCCCATCTCATCAATTGCCTGTTCGACTTTATACTTCGATGCAAAGGTCACGTCAAATAGCGATAATAGCCTGATAGGAGTCAATGGTTCTAATCCCTTTGTAGATAAGCTGCAGAGCAGTGCTTGAACACCGCCGTAAAGTTGCTTATCAGTATTTTACTGGATATATCACGAAGAGTGTACAATGGCATTACACGATTTAATTCCGCCGTCCCCTTTCCATCACCGGGGGACTAGGTGTAGGCATGGTTTCCTTTCCACCCCTATGTTGTGGATATACCAAAGATTCGCACAAAGCGTTACGCTTCCATATTGATATGACGAACGCCTATGGAGTGGATTTCCCTGCCTGCAGACTTGTTCCCTGAACATTACAACTTGGAAAGGCGAGAGTGAATAGGCGTTATTTAGGTGTACATGCTCCATCATCACTTTCCATTAGGTGAGATGGAGGTGAAATGCGCACTTACATTTTATAAAAAAAAAGCCTGCACGGGCTCACAGCGCAGGATAGCGTGAAACTGGCGCGTCTTGGAGTGCACGGTTGCGCGGGCACCTTATAAGCGCAATCTCGCGTTCTTTCCCTTTTCTTTCCAACGTCTTTACACGTTTACTCAATTGCTGTATCACGCACGATAGAGTGTCTGTATAAAGCTCGCTACTCCAGAGATAGAAAGCCAAGCTACTCCGCACACTCTCTGAAAATCATTAAATTACCACGTACAATACCTATGCGTGCTATAATCCTGTTAGCATACCATTCTAAATTAATGACTAAAGTAAAAAAAACAATTTCAATACATGAGTTATTCATTAGGTGATTAGAAACGAGCGATCAGTGGTGCGTATATCCGAGCACCGGACAAACAGACCGACTGACGCAATCTTTCCGTGTCAATACAGCTGGCTGATTTATTCGTGCAGATTTGTTGTTTCACTGTCTGGTCTGGACCGTCTATTATTATTTCTGTGAGGAAAATGGCGTAGTGGCTAGGGTAAAAGATGCTTCGATGGTTTGGTCATGCAGAATAGATGTTAGCAGATTGACAGCACTAATTTATGCAGGGTGTAGTCGCGAAGTATGCCCGGGCGATTATTCTGTATATATAAGAAATATCAAGAACCTTTAAACTGAAATCGAAAGTGCGTTATCTAATAAGTTAAAAAGTTAATTCTTACAAAATCTCGAAATTCTTGTCCTTTAGGTTTATAAAAAAAAAGTATTTGATTCTTGCTGTAAAATTAATATTTCATATGAAATTAAAATTAAATCGCTACTAAAGCCGAAATATTGATTGGTCTATTTAAATAAAAAAAATATAGAAATGCCCCCAAAATCATTCCGGGTCCCAAGTTTTATAATCAAACACGTCTTTTGCTTTAAATCAACACATTTAACAAAAATAACCTTTGACCTTTAAACATTCGATCAAATAAAATATGTTGTTGCTAAATTAAAGTTATACCGTGGTAAAAACACGACAAATAAATTTAAAAACTGTATTATTATTCATGTTCCAACCAAAAAAATCATTCCCTCACACTTTTACCTTCACTAGATTTGCGAAGGTACTTTTAATCTTTAGTAAATGCATTGTATTGTAAGTTTATGAAAGTTGTCAGCACTATAAACGTTTCAAAATGACGAAATTCAACTTGTCGTGTTTGTAACAAGTTTCTACTACGAAAAAATTTAATTTAAAACTCTAAAGGCGCATTTATTCAACACAAATTTGATCGCGCTCACCCCGCGCGGCCGGAGAGCGGAGTCCGCGTGCGTCTAACTGTCATGGCAAAATACGCTCTATTTTTATTATTATTATTTCTTCTGAGTGTTCGATCTTTGTATTAATAAATATAACAAACTAGTGGAGTGATTTCACAAAAAATAATTGAATATCAATTCAATAAAAATTTAAAACACGCTCTATTTGTTTAGCTCTTACGTTTTCATTTAAATGAGCGTTCCGGGCACGCGGGCTAGTCAGGCTGGAATTTAAATATTGTTGTAAAAATAAATAGAATTCAGACTCGCCATTAATGTACATGAAGGCGTGGTAACTGGGCGGTCGCCGCGCGGCGGCCGCGCGGTAACTTTTTTCTCGTGTAACTGGGCGCTAAAAAGTTACATTTTTAAAAGTAAAGTAAGTTTATATCGCAATTTTTTCTTGGTTTATTTTAATTTCCTCATTCCCTCACCCTCAAATGTTCTGTCTGCCCCATACATCTTCTTAAAAGTCATTTATTTTGGGGACCGCTATATCATCATAAACTATTTACAATAAGTACTATGAAACTGACAAAAAATTAGTAAAAAATCCTTCTTAAACATTTTCATAAATATCGAAAGCATTCGTTTTAAAAATAAAACTAGAAATATTTAAAATTGTAACGTTTTATGCTCATCAACATTTAATTGACTTTAAGAGGTAACAATAAGTTTACAGATAATAATCTCAGGACAGAATACTAAAAAACCGACTATTCTGCCTCCCTTAGAGGTCGAATATTTTCTTCAAATTGAAGTGGGACCACTCCTGGGGTAGCATCTTTCCAACAAAAAAAGAATCATCAAAATCGGTTCACAAATGCTGAATCATCGCGTAACATACATACAAAAACAGAAACATACGGTCGAATTGAGAATCTCCTTCTTTTTTTAAGTCGGTTAACAAAAGTGCTATAAACAACGTATTAAAACTATTTTTATTTAATTAAAAACGAAGTGACGTTTATTTTTAAGTAAGTACAAAATGTTGTATTCGAAGCAGTTGTTTGAAACTAAAGACTGGTCATATTTTTTGATATCTCATATATTAACGGAATAAACGGTTGGATACACTTAACGATTACACCCTGTAGACAGATAGACCATAACTTACATGTCTCGATCAGATGGGGGATGTTTTTAAAAAAGGCCACGTAAAAAGTACTGACTGGTATGTATGAAGAGATCATCGAATATATAACCAGAAATAAAGACGAAATGTCATTTTTTTTAATTCTGCCATATCGTAACGAATTTGAAACAATTGACGAGTATCGTACATTTGACGGGTGTCGTCAATTGTTTCACTTCAAATCGACCAGTTTAGCTTTGCTATAATGGACGGAAATTTAAAAATTGCATAATATGTAATTACCGATGAAATGTGGGTCCGTTTGTTTTGTAATTAGATATTTTGCCGTTTTTCTCGTAGCACCGAATGGAACAGCCCCCATAGT